GGGCAACGCTCGAGGGCCAAACTCATCGCTCTATCTCCACGGCGTTGGACATCCTGGCTGTCGCCCGTCGTCATTGTCATCAGCCATGGTCAATCCACTGCTGGTTGACCATACTTTATCACGTTGGTCTTTGCGGGTTGGTGAAGGTAGCACATTCAGTGCCTGAGGTGGTCCGGAGGGGCCTCTAATCCAGCACTCTAGCAAACCCAGGCCGACGAGGCTCTTCGGCTTATTTGCAATGACAAAGCAGTGCCCCATGGGAGAAAATGTGTCACCCTTCCCGGGATCACATTTCGGATGGACGGGCGATCGGGCGGGCGAGTGACGACGCGGCACAACAAAAGCACCGGCAAACCAACGCCGGCCGTCGTCACGGAGTTAGCCCCCCCACCCCCCACCCGCCCTCTTGGTGTTGTGTTAACGAGCCGTGTTGCCTTAACGAGGCAAAGTTGTGGTAACGGGGAACAGGAGGAGTTGTGGTAACGATCGTGCAAAGCGTTCTGGGTTTTCCCCCCCCTCCGACGTGGTTTTGCACTTTGGCATCGGCCGCTCCCAAACACTGACCACCCCCCTCCACCACCACCACCACCTCCTCCTCCTCCCTCCCCATCGCACCGTCCCCTCCGCTGTCTCTTCTGCAACCCTCGCCGCCCACCCCACCTGGATCAACGGATATAGTATATCTGATCTCTCGCCACTTCCCTCCCTCCCTCCCCGCCCACACACTTTGAGAAGGGGCCCTGCAGCAGGTGTATGTGGGTGGATATGGGAGATACCCCGCAGGTGAGTGTGTGCGTGTGTGTACTCTTGACAGAACAGGTGTGGGAGTCGGGGGGTGGGGTGGACTGCAGGGTGTGTCATGCAACCCTGACCGGCAATTCAAATCCAACGCTAAAAACAGGAATACGTGGTGCAGGCCGAATGCACGGACGTTCACCCACGCACGACTCCGGCTGGGAGTGCCGCAAACCCACAAACCGCAAGGAGTCGTGCGACTCCCACGCAAGTCCACGCCTCGCGTGCAACGAGCTGCAATGTTCAGGCTTGTGTCCACCCAGCGGGGGCAGCGGCCAAACGAGACGGAGACGGGGAGAGTTTTTACGTGCTGTGCGGCGGTCACGTGACACCCTTAGGAGGGTTGGGGGGGGGTGGCGGCGCGGCACTTGCGCCGGTACGCTGCCATACCGGCACGCTGCCGTTGCTGGTGCTTTGCGGAAGGCAAGGCACGTAAGCGTCCGATTCTGAGAAACGGTTCCCAATTTCCACGCTGCGGCGTCACGCCACGAAGGGGGAAACGGCAGTGGAACGCGAGCCGCTGGCGGGCCAATGGGCTCCCGTAATAAAGGTTTTTGGAGTTAGATTGCGCAAGTAATGAATGTGTCGTAACCCTCCGCCACCCGGCACACAGCCAATCGGTAAGGGATTCGTCGCGTAAACAAAACGCGCCAATTAGCGACTCCTTCAGCCCACCAGTGTGTTGGAGGGTAAATGCACAACGTTTACAATTTGAACAGTACGACGTTTCGCTGGTCATCACGTCCAACATCATCGGGGCGATTTTTGCCAGAATAGTGAAGCCATCCACCTGCTCCCGTCTCATCGCTTCCAGATCGCAAACTACGAGGGCGCTGGGCTGTTAACTCCCTTGCCTGGTATGCGGGAGGTCGTGGGTTCGATCTCGAACCCTGACCGATGCCTATCGTATATTTGACGTCTGCGTGTTCTCTCTCTCCCCGTGGTGGTCGCGTGGATTTTTCTCCAGGTCCTCTGGTTTTTTTTTCCCTCCACATTTAGAATCAACGTGCTATCATTTGTGGCCATCTGTAAAATAGGTTGATAGCTTGGTGGGCCTTTCCTGGTAGTTTCCACATTTCACATTAGGCTTTAGGTCGAAGGTGCCTTATAAGTGCAAATTATTGTTATTTACAACGTTGCGACCACACTGCATAATGTGCATTGCTAGGCACACGTGGGGGAGTTGTGCCCCCCCCCCCGAGCCTGCACGCTTTCTCCCGTAACGTTGTGTGTTTCGCGTCGTTTCTAGAAAGCTTTTCGTTTTGAATCATCGTTGTAAGCCCTCGGGGAAGTGCTAATTGGGGTTCCCATAGTGTCTCCGGTTGGAAGCTGTCACCACATGGCATCCCCAAAGGCATTGGGCAATAGTGAACCTTGGTGATTTTACTGTATTGGTGAGACACGTGGCGGTGGGGGCTGCATGCGCGTGTGTGTGGAGTGTGAAACACGTACAAGGTTGATACACTTAATAATAATAATTAATTTCAACTTGTAACACTGCCTCGCTGCCACGCAGTGTCGGCTCGCGCTCTCTCCTCGTGACGAGGACGAAGATTGAGAGCATTGTTACGTGATAGAACAAGAGAGCGAGCGAGAGTGACGGGGGGGGGGGCACGACTCGGAGGTGCGAGGATGAACCACGGCAATGAGTCGGCGCCAAATTTCCTGTCCCCCCCCCCCTCCACTGCCACCCCAAGCTCTGCCATCCTCTATACATGAAGGTGTTATTAGCCAATTAATGAGCGCTTGCGCGTGGCAGGAAACCCACGCGTACAGATGGGACCGATGGGACCGATGGGACCGATGGAGCGGATGGAACGGATGGAACAGATGGGACAGGTGAACAGATGGGATATATGGGACAGATGGGACAGATGGAACAGATGGGACCGATGGGACAGATGGAGCGGATGGAGCGGATGGGACAGATGGGACAGGTGGACAGATGGGACAGATGGAACAGATGGGATATATGGGACAGATGGAACAGATGGGACAGGTGAGACAGATGGAACAGATGGGACAGGTGGATAGATGGAACAGATGGGACCGATGGGACAGATGGACCAGATGGAGCGGATGGGACAGATGGGACAGGTGGACAGATGGAACAGATGGGACAGATGGAACAGATGGGATATATGGGACAGATGGAACAGATGGGACAGGTGGGACAGATGGAACAGATGGGACAGATGGAACAGATGGGACAGGTGGGACAGATGGAACAGATGGGACAGGTGGATAGATGGAACAGATGGGACGGATGGGACAGATGGGACAGATGGGACAGATGGAACAGATGGGACAGATGGAACAGATGAGACGGATGGAACGGATGGAACGGATGGGACAGATGGGACAGATGGGACAGGTGGGACAGATGGGACAGGTGGAACAGGTGGACAGATGGGACAGGTGGAACAGGTGGACAGATGGGACAGATGGAACAGGTGGAACAGGTGGACAGATGGGACAGGTGGATAGATGGGACACGTGGGACAGATGGAAGAGATGGAACAGATGGGACAGATGGAACAGATGGAACAGATGGGACAGGTGGGACGGATGGAACGGATGGGACAGGTGGACAGATGGAACAGATGGGACGGGTGGGACGGATGGGACGGATGGGACAGATGGGACAGGTGGGACAGGTGGACAGATGGGACAGATGGAACAGATGGGACAGGTGGGACGGATGGAACGGTTGGGACAGATGGGACAGATGGGAGTTCAAATTTTATGCCGCGGCGCCCTCTCCTGGCGAGCTGGGGTACGGCACCTCCTGAACGCCCACGGGAACGGAGTTTTCGCGTTTACCTGCGCGGTCATCCACCGGGACCCCTCGCCGCTGCCTCCGCGCAGCGCTGGATCACAGGCCGCGTGCAGCGTCGCCGCCGGCGCCGGCCACGGAAGGTTGTCCCGTGGATAGAGAGGGGCCCCCTCTCGCACCCCCCCCCATCGCCGCCGCCATAGGAAAGGTGGCATTTTATCGACTCGTCTCAGGGCTGTGAAGAGGAGGATTAGCCACCGCAGCGGTGCTCATTCGAGCCGCAACAATCCCTTTCTGTTTTTCGACTTTCGAAAACATACCGCAAAGCCTCGACTGGGCTTCGTCTCCAAGGATTTAAATGCGGATGTTACGGTGATATATATAGTTGTATATTGATATATATGCGTGTGTGTGTGTTCCGGTGTATTGTTATATATTTTATTATTTTATTGTTTCCCTTCAACGTGACTTTACCGAAAGAGCTAAGAATATGTGGGAGGCAGTCGTGCAGAGCTTGACGATACAAAGCCAAGGACCCGACTTCGATTCCTGCCCACGGCCACCAACACCAGTGACGATTATCGGAAACGGTCCTGGGCCTCCCCCAGCTTGACTGTCTCAAAGGAGCGCCTGGTGTGGGGTGTAAACATCGCCGCTGGGGAGACAAAGGTGGCCGTGTGGGCATGGTGCTGGCCCACCCACGTCCCCGTGTGTCGTGGCCGGCCGTCATAGGTGCATCGCTTAACAGCACTTGCCACAAAAGTCTAGTAAGGGCTATACGGGGGACCTTTGTCTTCAATATAGATTTGAAGTTGATTGACCTTTGTCTTGTGATACTCATTGCATAACCGCATACTGTACGAGTTATGGATTTACATTGTTTGTACACGTATCGTTACATGTTTGCTGTGTGTGTCAATTTGACACCCTTGCAAATGAGGTGTTCCATCTCAAGCGGTTTTCCCAGGTGAAAATATTTGAATAAAAAAAGGTGTTTATGGTCTCGCACGCACACACACAAGTGTCGTTATTGACGAATGCGTCGAGTCTTGTTGTTATTTGTGCTTGTGCATCACCACTGCCAATTTAGCAGCAGCAGCAACAGCATCAACAATAAATCCGGTCTGAGACGGGGGGCAGGGGGTACCAAGATATCCCACAACCGCTTCAATCACCCCGCGTCTCTAGGTGCGGTGTGGTTGTTGGTAGGTTGCGGCGGCGGCGGCGACAACGCGGCTACGATCCTGCCGGTCGCGTTGTGGCGGTGCGACCGTCGTCGTCGCGGCGTTGCCGTCGCGTTTGCCGTCCCCTGCCCCCCCGCCGGTTTGCGAATGACCGTCATTGCCGTGGCGGCGCGGCTGCACCGTGGTTGCCGTTTTAACGTGGCCGCGGTGTCGTTGTTGTCTCCCGGTGTGTTTCGTCGACACAGCCAACCAGTACCTGTTCATGGTGCAAGCCAGCAGCATTATGATCCGGAACAACATGCGGACTATCGGGGCCCAGGTGTACGAGCAGATCCGGCACGGCATGCGAAAGAACGGCACGGGCAACGGCACCGGTACGCACCGCACTCGCGCGGGGCAACTACGCCACACAGTCACGCACCGTGCATACACCTCGACTACACACACACCACACCACACACCTAGACTACACGCTCACACCACACACACCTAGACTACACGCTCACACCACACACACCTAGACTACACGCTCACACCACACGCACACACCTAGACTACACACACAGCACACACCTAGACTACACACACCACACCACACACCTAGACTACACACACCTAGACTACACACATACACACACACCACACACACGCACACACCTAGACTATATACACACCACACACACACATAGACTACACACACCACACACACCACACCAGACACACACACCACACACACCTAGACTACACACTCACACCACACAGTCACACACCACACACCCACCTACACTACACACTCGCGTGCGCACGCACAGCACAGCACTTGCAACACCGTGACACCGTGCGCAGTTGCACGACCGTCCCTCGCGGCGTTAGTGGATCCCCGGTGAGAGTGCGGCGCCTTGCGTTGTGCGTGGTGCAGATTACTTGGACGGCTACAACGCGAGTGACTACATGATGCCGACCGGCACCTACCTCCCCGAGAACTTCACCTACCTGCCGCACATGACCTGCCCCTCGCGCCTGCCCTCCATGAGTACGTGTGCGTGCGTCCGTGTGCGCGCGCGCGTCCGCGGTGCGTCCGCGTGCGCGTGTGACAAAGGGCACCGAGAGCGGTGGCGCAGTGGTTAGCGCATTGCCCTCTGAACCCGGCGACTCGAGGTCCCCCGGGCCTCTACGTTTGCTCCGGCCTCAAGTTCGTGCCTGGTTCTCGGCGTGTAAACATCGCCACTCGGGGGGGCGGTGAAGGCGGCCGGGCGTGGTGCTGGCCACCCACTTCTTCGTGTGCCTGGCATGCCATCATAGGTGTGCTCGCTTCACAGCTCTTGCCTCAACAGCCTGTTAGAGGCTCTAGGGGGGACCTTTGTCTTTGCGACGCTCGGCAATAGCCACGAGCGGAGCGCTTGGCGGCTGAAACGCAGCGAATAGGCATGGTGGGGGAGCGCACGTGACCAGTGCGTGTTTGTAACGTGCCAGTCGGACAAGCCATAATAACGCAGTCTGTCCCATGACTTCCTAGCAACAGAGAACCTTTGATATTTGACGTGACGGCCTCGAAGCGCACCTAGCCCAGCACAAGCACCGTGGTGACATCACCACCACGTGGTGGCGAAGGGCAGCTGTTGCTGTGGTGTGTCCGGGACCACGTCCGGTCGCCTTTGTCTCTCCCCCACCTGTTACGTTTACACACCGCACCGCGTGCTCATTAAAACAGTGCTTGCCCCAACAGCCTTGTACGGCTAAAGGGGTCGCTCGTTGTATTTGTGTGTAAACACCTGTGCGTGTGGGCGTGCGTGCAGAGGGCCGCATGGACGTGAACATGAGCGAGACGACAATAGACGATGTGCTGCGCTCGATCGACTCGCCCTGGGAGGTCAAACCGGGTGGACACTGGAGGCCGAGCGACTGCCAGCCCCTCTGGAGGGTACGTGCTGTCACCCGGCTCCTGCTGCTGCCTTGCTGCTGCCCTGCTGCTGCTGCCCGCTAGTAACACCCCCTGCCGGCACTGCCAGAGACCCTAGACCACCAGCAAGCGACAGACGAGTATGATTAGAGGCCAGGGCTTGGGGCTAGGTTAGTGTTAGGCCGAGAGCTAGATTAGGGTTTTGTGAGGTTTAGGAGTAGGGCTAGGTTAATGTTAGGAAGAGAGTTCAGTTAGGGCCTATAGCTAAGATTAGGATGAGAGTTTAGGGTTAGAGCTAGGTTAGGGTTAAGGCTGGAGTTGGGCTAGATTTGGGGTTAAGACTAGGGATCGTGTTGGTAAGTTAAAGCTATCGTTAGGGTTAAGGCTGGATTATGTTTATGGTAAAGGCTAGGGTTAGCGTTAATGCTAGGGCTAGAGCTAGGCAACTTTAGAGTTAAGGTTAGGGTTAAAGTTATGGCTAGAGCTAGGTAAGTGTAGGGTTAAGGCAAGGGGTAGAGCTAGGCAAGTTTAGGGTTATCGTTAAGGATGGGGGCTGGTCATGGACTTGAGCTGTGGATTTGTGTATAGACAGCCTATTGCGTGAAGCCACAGCTGGAGAAAGATGCACGCGCTCAGGTTACCCATTGTACAATAGAGGGGTGAGCAAGTGCAGTGAGCTAGCACAACCAGCACGTGCGATCGCGTGCGGGCGAGCGCGAGCGGTAGTGGTGAGCGCGCTGCCCTACGAACCCGGCGACCCGAGTTCGGTTCCCGCTCACGACCAACTACACCAGTGACGATTATCTGAACCGGTCCTGGGGCCTCCCCCTAGGTCGACTCGGCCTCAAATGAGTTACCTGGTGCGGTTTGTTTAATCGTCGCCACTAGGGAGACAAAGGTGGCCCGGCGTCGTGTTGGTCACCCACGGGCGGTGTGCTGTACCTGCCTTCATAGGTGCTGCTACTCGCTGGTAGCAGTTGCCTCCAGCAGTCTGTTAGAGGCTACGCGAGGGGTCTTTGTGAGCAGGCACAGCGTGTGTGGGCTTGAGCTCATTGTGTGCAGTGTGTATGTGAGTGTGCACATTTTGTGTGTGTGTGTGTAGGTGAGAGAAAGCACATCGTGTGTGTGTGCGAGATCGCGGACGTGCATGTGCTGCCTGAGCGTGCGTGCCTGAGCACGCGTGCGAGTGCGCGGCACCGTTGGCGTGTGAACGCGCGTGTGAATGTGAGCGTGCATACCTCGGGCACTGTGTGGGTGTGTGACTGTGGGATCTGTTACAGTGCTTTTGCGTCGCTTGTGGATAGTTAAATTTTTTTACCAATATTTCTGCACCCCGGAACACCACATCCAGTATAGCTCCCACTATGGGCCGTGGCTAACAAATGTGTTTTGGTGATGCTGCTGCGTTAGCAGTGATGCATAAGCACAGATTAGTGCACGGGAATGTTACTTTACAGGCAGTGTGAGTCTCTGGGCAATGTTAGTCTACGGCAGTGTTAGTCTGTGGGCGGTGTGAGTCTGAGCGGTGTTAGTCTGTGGGCAGTGTGAGTCTGTGGGCGGTGTTAGTCTACGGCAGTGTGAGTCTGTGGGCGGTGTTAGTCTGTGAGCGGTGTGAGTCTGTGGGCGGTGTTAGTCTGTGGGCGGTGTTAGCCTACGGGCGGTGTTAGTCTGTGGGCGGGGTTAGTCTATGGGCGGTGTTAGTCTGTGGGCGGTGTTAGTCTGTGGGCGGGGTTAGTCTATGGGCGGTGTTAGTCTGTGGGCGGTGTTAGTCTGTGGGCGGTGTTAGTCTGTGGGCGGTGTTAGTCTACGGGCGGTGTTAGTCTGTGGGCGGGGTTAGTCTGTGGGCGGTGTTAGTCTGTGGGCGGTGTTAGTCTGTGGGCGGTATTAGTCTGTGGGCGGTGTTAGTCTACGGGCGGTGTTAGTCTATGGGCAGTGTGAGTCTGTGAGCGGTGTTAGTCTACGGGCGGTGTTAGTCTATGGGCGGTGTGAGTCTGTGGGCGGTGTTAGTCTACGGGCGGTGTGAGTCTATGGGCAGTGTGAGTCTGTGAGCGGTGTTAGTCTACGGGCGGTGTTAGTCTATGGGCGGTGTGAGTCTGTGGGCGGTGTTAGTCTACGGGCGGTGTGAGTCTGTGGGTGGTGTTAGTCTGTGGGCAGTGTGAGTCTGTGGGCGGTGTTAGTCTATGGGCGGTGTTAGTCTACGGGCGGTGTTAGTCTACGGGCGGTGTTAGTCTACGGGCGGTGTTAGTCTACGGGCGGTGTTAGTCTACGGGCGGTGTTAGTCTACGGGCGGTGTTAGTCTACGGGCGGTGTTAGTCTATGGGCGGTGTTAGTCTGAGGGCGGTGTTAGTCTACGGGCGGTGTTAGTCTACGGGTGGTGTGAGTCTGTGGGCGGTGTTAGTCTATGGGCGTTGTTAGTCTACGGGCGGTGTTAGTCTACGTGCAGTGTTAGTCTATGGGCGGTGTTAGTCTGAGGGCGGTGTTAGTCTGAGGGCGGTGTTAGTCTGTGGGCGGTGTTAGTCTGTGGGCGGTGTTAGTCTACGGGCGGTGTTAGTCTACGGGCGGTGTTAGTCTACGGGCGGTGTGAGTCTTTTGGCAATTTTAGTCTATGGGCACCGTTCCTCATGTACCTTAGGTAAGCCTCCCCGAGTCTCAAGGCACTTGTTTGCTGGTGGGATGGTCCTGCTTGCTGCATTGGCGTGATGTTTGGCCCGTTCCACTCCGGGAGTTTTGGCTTCACGCGGGAGGATAAATCCGGAGCAACCTCGCGTAAAAAAACAAAAAACAGGAGGTGTCGGGCTCATAGCGCCGCACAGGTGGAGTCAAGATGGCAATGCTTGCGCTGCCATCTGCTGGCCGCCCGTCTGACAATTCAAGACGGACAACGCGACAATCGCCTTTCCCAGGCGGGTTCTGCGATCACCAAGTGAAGTTATAAACCGGTCTAAAAAAATCCTGCTTAGCTTTTGAGATTCCCCCACAAGATCCCGGGCATGGTTGGTGAAGGAGGGTCGGGGGCGGGGCGGGGTTGAGGGTCTGCGGGGGTGGGGGGGGGGGTTAGCGGTGCACAGGAAGGACCCTTCCAGGTACGTGGCTCGCCGCTGATGCTAGCCGTGGCCGCGAACGTCTCGCGCCCGTCCTCCGTGCGGACGCGGCTCCGCTTGTGGCCACGACTGGCTCTGTGCGTGTGGCGGCACCAGGGAGGGCCTTCTGCTTTGGCCATGTGACCTGGTGGCCCACTGGAAGCCCCCCTCGCATTATGAACACACTCCTTCACCGATTTAATTGCTCCGTTTTGGCCGCTCCTCGGCCTCCCTCTCCGCCAAACTCCCTCTCCCCCACTCCCCCTCCTCCCATTGGTGTTGTCGTGGCGGCGCTTAATGAGTTTGGTCGTTTACGATCTAAATTGGGGAGCGGAGTTTAGCCACGGCCGCCATCGCCGCGTGTTGTGCCTGGCTCCTGTCCAGTCGCCGCAGCCGCTACCCCCCCCCCCGCACTCCCCCCACCCTACCCCGCCGCCTCTTCCGCCCCCAGCACGCGGTCGCGTCGCCGTGACCCACGAACTCTGACCTTGGCATGAACCCTCCGAAGGTGTGGGGAGGGGGGGCCGCTGATCCGAGCTGGGTGCGTGTGTGCGCGTGGGTGAGAGCGTCTAGTGCGCGAGTGTTTTGGATGGCGGGTGAGAGGGTTGTGGTGCGAGCGAGCGATGGGGAGAGTGCGTTTTGTAATGGTGTCGAGTGCCTGTGTCGAGTGCCTGTGTCGAGCCGTGCGCGTGGGGGGCCAGCATGCAGGTGTGTGCGCGCGTGTGTTGGGTTTGAGTGTTGTGGCGTGCACCTGGTGGGTGTGGCGGCTGTGCTCGCAGGTGCGAAGAGAGGTGCAAGTTGACGGTTTAGCCGAGGTGCATGCGGTGTAGCTGAGGTTCGTGCGTTGCGGTACAGGTCGCCATCCTCATCCCGTTCCGCAATCGGCACGAGCACCTGCCCATCCTGCTGCGCCACCTCGTTCCCATGCTGCAGCGCCAGCGCCTCGAGTTCGCCTTCTACCTCATCGAGCAGGTGTGTGAGCGCCCGCCTCCCCGCTCGCCGTCACGAATCGCGCGGCTCGCCTGCGGATCGCTTCGCGTCGACGCCCTCGTTTCACCGCACTGCTCCGCGCCCCGCCGCTCCTCGTCGACGCGCCGCTCCGCTCCGCGCCGCGCCGCGCCGCACCGCACCGGGACCGCTGAACACGGCGCAACTCCGTCGCTAAGCGGAGCTAAGAGGGGGGGCGGCGCCGGTAGAGGCGCGGCGCGGTCAGCGGCGCGACGCGCTGGACGGCGCTGCGTGGTTCATGTCGCGGTGTGGTGCGGTTGGTGATTTGCGCGGTGTGTGATGTGATTTGGGGCGCTAAGCGGTAGTCACGCGGTGGGGGGGGGGTGGTTACTACTTTGTACCGGCGCGCGTCGCTAATCGGCGGCGCGGTGCTAATCCCGGCGGTGGCAGGCGGGCGACATGCCGTTCAACCGCGCGATGCTCTTCAACGTGGGCTTCGTGGAGGCGCTGCGCGACGCGCCCTGGGACTGCTTCGTCTTCCACGACGTCGACCACATCCCCGAGAGCGACCGCAACTACTACGGCTGCAGCGACATGCCGCGCCACTTTTCCCACCTGCTCGACAAGTACATGTACATGTGAGTGACGCCACGCACGCACGCACGCACACGCGCGCGTGCCCCCCCACACCCCCCCCCCCCCCCGACTGCCGCACGTGCTGACCCCACCGGTGCCGACACCGCCGCCACCGCTACGTCCCGGTTAGCCGGGAGGTGCTGCCGGCTACGTGGCTCCTGAGTGAGGCGGCAGCGAGGTGTCCGTTGGTGACGGGTCACCGCGCAAACCGGGTGGAACTCCCTTCCGCCCGTTGGCGTCGAGGAGGAGAGCCGTACCTCGGGCTCGCCACGACAAGGCGGTTACGGCACTCCAGCCGTTCCGCCTGTACGGGGATCGAGAGTTTCCCCCTCGCACGCGCGTGAGGGTTTCTCCGGGTGCTCCGGTTTCCTTCCACGTGTAAACGCACGTGCATCGAGGGCCGCAGAGCTTGGGCAGAGTGTTGGTAGCGCCGGCTCGTGCCTCGTGTCTGCTGCTGCTGCCGCCGCCTTCCTGTTCGTCTGTGTTAATTGAAATTTGAGAAGTGGACATCCTGGAACTATCGCTGAGATCCGTTTGTATGTATGTGTATGTAGAACAGTCAAACCCTGCTAATCGGAGGTCGGGGGAAGGTCGACAAACTAAACACAAAATGCAGTTCTAGTGATATGCGTTTTCAATCTAGATGATGATTTAAAAGCGCATAGCTGCAGTGGTTTTCTAATATCGGAAGGGGAGAGTGTTCCAGACGGCCGCAGAAGCGCGTCTGAAATCGCCCGCGATGCGGTGACCACCGTCTTTGTTCTACGCCCCAATGCTATGCCCTGATCACTACCATCCGATCACTACCATCCGATCACTACCATCCGATCACTACCATCCGATCACTACCATCCGATCACTACCATCCGATCGCTACGCCCCGAACGCTACGCCTGGACAGGGCGCGCACCACCCATACGGCCTCGTTGACCCCCCGTGGCCCTGTGACCCCGTGACCCTGTGACCCCCGCAGCCTGCCCTACGAAGAGTTCTTTGGCGGTGTGAGCGGGCTCACCACGGAGCAGTTCAAGAAAATCAACGGCTTCCCCAATGCATTCTGGGGGTGGGGAGGGGAGGACGACGACCTGTGGAACCGGTAACCCCTCGCCACCACCGCTCACCCGACACCCTCACCTCTCACACCCCACGCCCCTCATTCCTCACCATCCCCACAGCCCTCACCGTCGCCACTACTAGTCATCGCCCACCCCCTCCTCACCTCTCTCTTATCTCCCTCCCGCACACACCTCACCATCGCCACTCGGCCTCTCGCCCCTCACCAACTCGTCGCACAACCCCCCCACGCGCCTCGATGCCCTCGGGGCCCCCACCGCCCACAGCGGACAGCGGTCGGTTTTTGTGAACGGATCGCACTTGGCCACGTCTGCTCGGTTGTAGGAATGTATAAGTGGGGTCAGTGGGGCGGGGGTTGAGGGGGTGGGGTGAGAGCGGGGGAGGGTGAGAGCGGGGGAGGGTGAGAGCTGGGGGGGAGGATGAGAGGGGGGGAGGGTGAGAGGGGGGGAGGGTGAGAGGGGGGGAGGGTGAGAGGGGGGGGAGGGTGAGAGGGGGGGAGGCTGAGAGGGGGAGGCTGAGAGGGGGAGGCTGAGAGGGAGAGGCTGAGAGGGGGAGGCTGAGAGGGGGAGGCTGAGAGGGGGAGGCTGAGAGGGGGCGGCTGAGAGGGGGCGGCTGAGAGGGGGCGGCTGAGAGGGGGAGGCTGAGAGGGGGAGGCTGAGAGGGGGAGGCTGAGAGGGGGAGGCTGAGAGGGGGAGGCTGAGAGGGGGAGGCTGAGAGGGGGAGGCTGAGAGGGGGAGGCTGAGAGGGGGAGGCTGAGAGGGGGAGGCTGAGAGGGGGAGGCTGAGAGGGGGAGGCTGAGAGGGGGAGGCTGAGAGGGGGAGGGTGACACAGCGTTGTTTGCGATGGCCGTTGTTATATTGGCGATGTCACGCGGCACTGCACTCACGGAGGAGAACCCCCTGACGTCATCCGGAGCCCGAAATCCTCACCGCTGCCTTTGTCTCCCCTGGTGGGGATGTTTACACACACACACTGTACACAAGGTACTGATTTGAGGCCGAGTTGATCTCGGATAATCGTGTTGGCCCTTCACAGGTGCTACTCGCCAACAGCACTTGCCCCAACAGTCTGTTAAGGCTACACGGGTAATCTTTGTCTTTGTGTTCCCCTCCGCCTTCCCCACTGCCAGGGTAATGTTTGCAGGGTACAATGTAACGCGGCCGCCCGGGGCAATGGGGCGGTACAAGTCGATCCCCCACCACCACCGCGGGGAGGTGCAGTTCCTGGGCAGGTGAGGAGACGACCGTGACCCCCGACCCTCACCCTTACTGTGGTGGTGAAAGCGGTGGTTTGCCTTTGACGTGTGGTTTTCCGTTTTTTGCTGCCGTTATTCAACAATCTCTTCGGTTGTTATGGTGGCGGTGGTAATGACGGCGGCGCTGATAGGCGTGTGGTGGTGGTGGTGGTGATCGGAGTATTGGTGATCATCGTGGCGGCGTGCAGAGCTTGACGATACAAAGCCAAGGACCCGACTTCGATTCCCGCTCACGGCCAACACCGGTGACGATTATCTGAACCGGCCCTGGGCCTCCGCGAGGTTGACCTGGCCTTAAATGAGTACCGGGTGCGGTGTGTAAACATCGCCACTGGGGCGTGGTTGCTGGCCACACCAGCCCTCTCGTGTACCACAGTAGTAACGTCAGTGCTGGTTGTGTGTAGCGTCAGAATTGGTTGTGGTTGCTCAGTCCTCTCCTCCCCCCCCCACCTCGCTCCCCCTCCATCCTCCACCAGGTACTTGCTGCTGCACCGCTCGCGGGAGCGGAACGCGGTGGACGGCATCAGCAACCTGCGCTACCGGGCCCAGCGCGCCCGCACGCCGCTCTACACCAACATCACCGTCAACCTCTCCCCCGAGCTCGCACCGCTGCCCGCCAACTACTGACACATGGCCCTGGGGGGCAGCAGTGGCAGGGGAGGAGGGAGGGCAGCAGGAGGTGGGTGGGGGGGGGGGGGGGCGATACCCGTGGGAGGTGAGAGACGTCGAGAAGGGGGGCGGCAGTTCAGGGTACGATGCCGCCTTCACTCCCACCCTCGCGCACCACCCACCCCTGGCGCCTGCAGCTGATCGGATTTGTGATGGTGACGGAGGAAGAGGAGAGGGAGAGAGAGAGACGTGGCGACCGAGATGAAGCGAGCGTCGATCTCGCCGATGTGCGGTCATTATTTATGATGCGTTTCTGAAGTGTGGCGGCGGTTGTGGTTGTGGTGGTGGGGGGGGGGGTTTTATCGAAGATTTTTTTTTTTAATGGAATCAACAACGATGGACGGGGTGAAGATGTCGGGAGGAAGACAGCAAGTCTTGGGGGGGAGGGGGGGGGGGTGGGGAACAAAACACAAAACCACGATGAACTCCCGCGGCGAGAAGAAATTAAACAAAACTACAGCCGGCACCGACCGACTGACGATCGTCCAAAAAACGGCGAGGGTGGGGGAAGGGAGAGGGGGGGGGCTACCCGCCGCCCCACCACCTCAAATACAAGGCCCCCCCCCCCCCCACACGACGCCCTGTCCCTCGCCTTCGCGAAACTACTGAGTGAGCCCCGGAGAAGTTTACGGTGGCGACGGAGGGGCGAATCGGTGCGCCCGCCGCCACCACCACGAACCACCACGGAACGACGGGCGTCTCCGGGCGCTTCACCCAACGAGTGTTGTTTACGGCAGCGGCGCTGTGAGTCCGGTTGCGGGTCGCGGGCCGCCGTGCGTTCCGCTCTGTGCGCGCGCGCTTGGGATTTGTGTTGCTTGAGAGCGGTGGCGCAGCGGTCGGCGAGCTGTGGCTGCGAACCCCGGCGGACCGAGGTTCGGTCGCGCGCTCGCTGGCCACCGACGCCGGTGGCCGATGATCCCGGCCGATTTCAGTAGCTGGTGCAGGGTGTCAACTTCGCCACTAGGGAGACAAAGGCGGTCGGGCGTGGTGCTGGCCACCCACCCCCCTCGTGTGCCGTGCCGGCCTTCGTAGGTGCTCGCTTAACAGTACTTGTCCCGAAAGTCTGCTAAGGCTATGAGAGGGATCTTTGTCATTTGTACGTGATTGTGCGATGCACGTGATTGTTTTGTGTGTGTGTGTGATTGTACCGTGCGTGTCGTATTGTGTGCGATTTGTGGTGTGCGCTTGTGTTGTCTGCGAGTGTGCTGTATCTGTTAGTGTCGTAGCAATATGTGGGGGAGCGGTAGCGTAGTGGTTACCGCACTGTTCTATGAACCTGGCGACCTGAGTTCCATTCATCGGTCGTGACCATTAACGGTGAATCGTTCCTCGGCCTCCCCTAAATGCGTATCTGGCGCGGTGCGTAAACATCCACACTGGGGCATCCACAGGCGGCCGGGCACGGTGTTGGCTAACCCCTCGTGCGCCGTGCCAGCCGTCATAGGCGCTCGCTAACAGCATTTGCCCCAACAGTCTGTTAAAGGCTAGACGGGGTGGGGGGATATTTTTACCATTGTGTGTGTGTGCGCGCGATTGTTCTGTGAGTGTGGTTGTGTCACGTGGCTGCGCGCGTGCGCTGTGTAGGCCGCTCAGTGCGTACTTTGCTTTTCGCAGCCACGCAGTGCTTATGAAGCCCTTGGGGTTGAGCCGTGCCACTGCTGCGTGGGCCGCGAGTGACCTGTGCGGGGAGTGGGTGTCGGTGTGAGCTGCGTGCGAGGGAGAGTGCGAAACGTGTTTGCGCGAGCCGTGGAGTCTGTTCGAGAGCTGTGGATGTAGTTTCTTTTTTCATGTGGCCGTTTTGAATCGTGATGTTTCTGTGCCCTCAATCTCGGTGATGAAACCACGAGATGGCATCTGCGCGTGCGAGTCTGTGTGTGTGCGTGTGCGAGCCTTCAACACTTCATGTGACGGCCTCAGAGTGCACCTAGCTTGGCGCAAGCGTTCTGTGGTGATGTCACCGCCACACAGAGAACGCGAGTCGTGAGTGGTGGCAGAGTAGTTACCGCACTGTGCCGCTGCGAACCCGGCGACCCGAGTTCAATCCCCGGCCGTGGCTAGCAGTCGCTTGCTCATGCTATTTGAACCGGTCCTGGGCCTTGCACAGGTTTGGCTCGGTCTTTCAAAGGAGGGTACGTGGTGCTGTGTGCAAGCGTTCGGCACTGTAGAAAACAAAGGCAGCATGGCGTGGTGCTGCCTCACGACATCGCCTTCCGTGCCATCATTCCGGCCTTCGTAGCCTGCTCGCTGAACGGCAATTGCCACCCCTCTCTCACGTCTCCCCCCACCCACCACCACCAAGGGGGATGCGAGTGTGCGAGTGAGTTTACCTGTGAGCATCTCTTGCGCGTACCAAGCGAGCGATTTAAGAAAAACATTTTCTCCATATGTGAATAAGCGCGCGCGCGTGAATGAGAATGCGCGCGCGTTTCCATCGTCGGGACGATGTAGCGTGCACTCCCTTCGCTCCGGAAACGCGTCGTCTGCCGAGGGAGGAGCGATGTGGCCGGGACGCGTGTTTTATAATCTGCGGCCATTTACCTGTCCTTATTTAATTTTACCTTTGTACATAAATGCCTTTTTGGTTCTAAATGCCCTCCCCGACCCCGCCCCATGCCTCGCCCACAGCCCCCCACGAACACCACATACCTCCTACGCCCTTCAAGAACACAGTGCTGTCCACTGCAGGCGAGCTCACCTGAGGCTCGTGCGTGACCTATGTCCCCCGGTGAGATCGCCTGGGATCAGTTCGCTCCCAGGTGAGCGCACCCGCAGGGCCGGGGAGGCTGCGTGCTCTGGATGCGCTTGCGGAAAGTGGGCAGCACTGTCCTCTTGCACAGAGGGGCACCACCCCCCCCACCCTCTGACTCACCAGGGCTGTGACCCCCACAACATCTGACCTTGACCCCAGATGCCCCATGGCTCTTGAGAACACGAGATTATCTGCATCTCGTGCTCCTCTGGGCTTGAGCTTCGAGCCACGGGTTCGAAGCTCGTGGGTTCCGGGTTTATATTGCGGCCTGATTAGAGCCACCCTGGTTAGTGAGAGCCTTGGGTTTGATAACTGGATTTTGAGATTTGGGATCGAGACCTGAAGCATACCTGGGTTTCAGACCAGAGATTGGGTTTGAGACCTGGGACCTGGGTTTCTCACCTGAGACCTGGGTTTCACACCTGGATTTCACATCTGTGACCTGGGTTTGAGGCCTGGGTTTCACACCTGAGACTTAGAGTTGAGACTTGGGTTTGAAACTTGGGTTTCCGACCTGGGTTTCAGACCTGAGGCCTGGGTTTGAGGCCCGGGTTTGAAGCCCGGATTTGAGGCCTGGGTTTGAGGCCTGGGTTTGAAGCCCGGATTTGAGGCCTGGGTTTGAGGCCTGAGGCCCAGGTTTCACACCTGAGACCTGGGTTTGAAAGCTGGGCTCCTTCAGGTCGCAGGTTGCACTGTGGAGGTCGGGGTGGGGCATGGCGAGGGTCAACGCGATCGTCCTCTTTTTACTTTGCGGTTTAATTCGTGACTATGGCAGCGGGACGGTGATGATGTTTCGCGACGATGTTGATTTAATAATTCATGACGTTGGCGATTATGATAACGCGAATTTCCACAAACTGTCGGTACTAACCCACCCCTGCATTTGTTTACATGATATACTGTTCCACCTTATTCACTATGGACAGCACTCCGTGTAGGGGGAGGGGGGGGGTAGGGGATCCATGCCCGCCCGCCCGCCCCCCCGCAAGATCTCCACTTGGGCTGGACACTGACCTCTAAACCTCACTGCTGTGTAATGTAATCCTCGTGGTTTTATTACCGATGTACGGTGACTGGGGATCGAACTGGGATCCTAAGGGCAGGGCTCACAAGGGCAGAGTTCCTCCCCTCACGCCCCCCTCCCCGACTGCCAAAGCCCCAATGAAGAGAGGCACTTGGCCCCCCTCTGATGGAGCTGTACCGTGCTGTGCCCCGCTAGTTTTGCTGCGTGTACATGCGTGGTGTGCGCGCGCGCTATACGTACGGGCGTGTCACGCATGCGATGTGTGTGTACGCGCGTTATGCGAACACGTGTTGCCTCTGCCCCGCGCCACGCGAGCATGCGTGTTGCCTGTACGCGCTCTATGCGAACACGTGTTGCCTCCGCGCGCTATGCGGACAACGCCTGTTGCCTGTACATGGGCTGTGTGTATTCGGTGCAGTATACGTGTTGTGTGTGTGCGCAGCTATATTCATTCAGGACATTTTCTGTCAATCCACTGCCGGATGAGAGACACCTCCCCCCCCTCCTCCCACGCTGTTGCAGGTCGTGGGAATTTATTTCGAGACCACACCTTGACCCACACGAACACGTGTTGCCTCTGGAGCGGCAAGGAGCAGACAAGACGTAAGAGCGTAGGGCTGCAATTGATTTCGCCGCATTGGCCATATTCTGATTAAATTAAGCGTTTTTTTTTTAACCAGCTGAAGGGCCACCGAGGTCGTGTAGCTGTGTTTGTTTTCGGCAGCGACGTTGGCCACAAATGATCGCTCAACGACGAAAGCGACAGCCCATCATCGTCGTCGCGTGGAAATGCACAGCAGCCAAATACTCTAAAACGCGTGACGTCGATTCCTTCATGTGGAAGGGCAAACCCGGAGGACCCGGCGGAGAATCGGCGTGACCACGGGGATGAAATGCAAAACTCCGGTTAGCAGAATCGGTGTTTAGACTGGATGAGGAATCGTATGAGCTAAGAAGCTCTCTTTCACAGATGTCCGGTAGGGGCAGGTCGGCCAACAAACATTACAAAAATAAAATGATGTTTTGTACAGGGTCCGGATCAAACCCACGGACCTCCTGCGTACCAGGCGAGGGAGGTAACATCTCGCCACCACGGTGCCTCTACCGCCGGCCCGTAACGTAGCCGTGAAGCAGCCTATACCGCCTGTTGCATTGCACGGTTCTCGCCCGTGCAAGGGCTGCTTCCAGGCTTAGCACATGCTTAGCTTCGCTTAGCTTTTGAGATTCAAATTCAGGGGGGTGATCGAGGTCACAATTAGCCCAGGATACACGTCGCGGGTCGCGTGCGTAAGAATAACGCCACCCCACAGCAACCACACCACCACAATCGCACACCGCACCAATCACACCACACCACCGCAATCACACACCGCACCAATCGCTGCGAATCACTACAATCACACCACACCAATCAGGACGCCACACCAATCACTGCACACCACCACGATCGCACCACACCAATCGGTGCACACCACACCAATCGCCGCACACCACCTCGAGGTGGTCAGAACCAGCCGGGTCGCTTTTCGTTTCACGTGCCATTTGCAATGTCACGTGGCCCGTTGCGGCCCTCAGAGGGCGCTGCATTCGCCAGATTGTAATTGCTGCTGTTGTGGTATCGAATTACGAGATTTAATCGAATCGACAGAGTTCCGAGTCGTTACGTCCCCTGAGTTCGACACTCTGCAGTGGTACAAAGGCGCTATTTTTTTTTTAAAGAGAGGCAAGCGCCGGTGTAGGGTAGTGGTAAAGGGTGTGGTTTTACAGTACTCCGAATACTGGAGAGCGCGGGTAGGGTTTGGGGGGTCTGAATGAGTTCAGGCTGGGATTGGCGGCAGCTGTGTGTGTGTGTCACTGTGTGTCTTTGTGTCACTGTCACTACGGGGAGCGGTGGTGCAGCGGTTAGCGCTGCTAACCGCTCGCGGCCACCAACACCGGTGACGATTATCTGAACCGGTCCTGGGCCTCCCCTAGGTCGACTCGGCCTCAAATGAGTACCTGGTATGGTGTATAAACATCACCACTGGGGAGACAAAGGCGGCCGGGCGTGGTGTTGGCCACCCACCCCCTCGTGCGCCGTGGCGGCCTTCACAGGTGCTCGCTAACAGCACTTGCCCCCTACAGTCTGTTGATGCTATACGTGGGGGGGGGGGGGGGGGTGGGGGATGTTTGTCTTGTCTTTGTGTCACTGAATCGCCACCCGTTTTGTCGTGCGGGGACGCGACCCTCCCTGCCTGCAGCGCTCACGGGACTCGCGTTTGAATCGCCTGTGAAATAGACGGGACGTGGATCCCAAAATCAACAGCGGTCTCGTGTCATCGTGAGTAAGCCACCGTGGCGCCAGCGTCTGCCGGTGTAACCCCGGGCCGCGATGTGCGGGCCAAGCTACAGTCCCGTGGCAAAGTGGCGCACCACGAGCCCACGCACCGTGCTCGCCACACCGGACTACACCATTTCCACCGCACCACACCGCCCCATCCACACGACACCAACCATACTGCGCCACGCTATGCACACCACACGCTGACCGTACCAACCAAACCGGACTACACCATGCATGCCGCACGAACCATACCGTACCACACCGTGCACACCACATCAACCACACCAGACTGTGCCAGGCTATCTGGACCACACGATGCACACCACCAATCGCACCGAACTCTATCGAGACGGCATCATCCGCACCACACCAACTGCTCTATCCCACCTCGGGTGGTGGTTGGATCGCACAACATTGAGTCTGCTCACTCCAGCGATGTCAACGTCGTTTATTACCGGTTTTGGCGCGGCGTGGTATGGGTCTTCTATTGTGTGGTGCGGTGTGTAGTCCAGGTGTGGTTCAGATGGGGTGTATATGTATGTGTGGTGCAGTGCGTAGTCCAGGTGTGGTTGAGATGGTGTGTGTGTGGTGGGTAGTCCAGGTGTTGTTGAGATGGTGTGTATATGTATGTGTGGTGCGGTGCGTAGTCCAGGTGTGGTTGAGATGGTGTGTGGTGGGTAGTCCAGGTGTGGTTGAGATGGTGTGTGTGTGGTGTGTAGTCCAGGTGTGGTTGAGATGTGTGTGTGTGGTGTGTAGTCCAGGTGTGGTTCAGATGGTGTGTGTGGTGTGTAGTCCAGGTGTGGTTGAGATGGTGTGTGGTGTGTAGTCCAGGCGTGGTTGAGATGGTGTGTGTGGTGTGTAGTCCAGGTGTGGTTCAGATGGTGTGTGTGGTGTGGTGTGGCTCTGCACGGTGTGGTTGCAACGCGCTGTCACGCGACGTTACACGGCGCGTGACAGCGGCGGTAAGAAACGAAACTCTTAACGACGGCAGCAGGGAAGTCGTCACCCCTCTACCTACAACGTATCTGGAAAACGGGCTGAGAGGGGGTGGTGGTGGTGGGGGGTATTCGGGTCCCCTTGGGGTTCCGGAATCCCCTCTCCCTCGGGGGGGGGGGGGGGGGGGGGGGGGGGTGGGGTCGTTCAGGGCCCCGGGCCCCTATTGTGGGCCCATGGGGGTGGGGGAGCCGCGGGGGTTCAGTGTCCCTTTCCGTCTACCACGATGGCCCCTGTTGCGAAGAAGTAGGGGCTCAGCAGCATGGGGATGTGGTAGTGCTTGTGTCCCGCGCCATGGGCCATGAACACCACCTGGGGGGAGGGGCGTGGGGGGCATGGGGAGGGGGGGGGCAGGTGAGAACTCTCGTATGCAAAAGCGAGTGAATGAATGGGCGAGTGAATGGGTGTGTGGGTGAGAGTAAATGATTGAATGGGTGAGTGAATTATTGAATGGGTGAGTGAATGGGTGTGTGGGTGAGTGAATGAATGGGTGAGTGAATGGGTGTGTGGGTGAGAGTAAATGATTGAATGGGTGAGTGAATTATTGAATGGGTGAGTGAATGGGTGTGTGGGTGAGTGAATGAATGGGTGAGTGAATGGGTGTGTGGGTGAGAGTAAATGATTGAATGGGTGAGTGAATTATTGAATGGGTGAGTGAATGGGTGTGTGGGTGAGTGAATGAATGAGTGAATGAGAGTGAATGAATGATTGAATGGGGCGAGTGTGTGGGTGATTAAGTGGGTGGGGTGATCGGATGATTGGGTGGGTTGGCCAATTCAAGTTGATGTTTGTTGTAACCAGGGTGAGAATGCAAGAGGCCAGGGTAGAAGTCTCATTTGCAACAGTGACCTGAGCCTGGACTGGGAGGGGAAGGGGGGTCACCCAAAATGGCAAAAGCTCCACGAATTTTTTTTAAAAATAACTTAAGGAAAGAGAAATAGAAGTTAAATTTAAAAACCCCAATCGCCTTGTCGTCTGGCGTGAGAGACGATGAGAAATATTGCACTGACATAAATCGACGTTAAGTAAAAATACATTACTTTCAGGAACTAATAAATGTGCATATTCCATCAAGGTCCTTTCAAAGACGATGCCATATATTAAGCAGAGCCGTGTTTGTTTGCATATTTTACCACGAGCACTCTGTGCGGTTAATGCAGCAACTTGATTCCTTGCGGAAGGTTTCTAGTTGGTGTTTGAACATCTTAACACCGCCTATTATTTTATTGCCAGAAAGTGTAAAACCCCTATTCTTATATATAGTTTCATATTCCTTAACATCTTCTGATCTCCAATTGCTCGGCACTCCCAGATCTCTTGGTCGTGCTCTCTTTGGCGATCGGTGCTTTTGTTTGCATGGCACCCACAAGCAATGGAACGCCTTGCCACTTGAAATCGGGCAATTGGAGGAGTCGGTAGATAGATTTGAGTCTGCTATAAAGCGGCTTTCCCTCTCTAATTTGGTCGGTTGCCCCCCCCCCCCCCGCCGGTTATAAATGTGACCTTTCTGCCACTATCAAAGTATGAAAAAAATAAGAACAGGTTTTACCCTTTCGGGCAATAAGACAGGAGTTGTGTGTCGAGATGTTCAAACACCAAAATTTAAGCTTTTTGCAATGGATCAAGTTACCGGATTAACCACACACACGGTGCTTATGGTGAACATGGAAACAAACTGATAATATGGTGGTATTGTCCTTGTACTGGTCGCCTTCTGGCGTCCTCTGGTCTGACACTGGTGGTGAGACTAGGCCATGAAGAAGGCCGTCTCTGGTGTAGGTGCATTCTCTTTGAAACTGATTGGTCCACACCAAAGACAGCCTTCTTTAGAGCTTAGTCTCAAACAGTGTTGGGCCAGATGGTGAAACTGGTGATTGGTGGCGATGTCGAGGAAGATGGTGGTGGTGGTGATGATGTTGGTGGTGGTGGTGATGATGTTGGTGGTGGTGGTGATGATGTTGGTGGTGGTGGTGATGATGTTGATGGTGGTGGTGATGATGTTGATGGTGGTGGTGATGATGTTGATGGTGGTGGTAATGATGTTGATGGTGGTGGTAATGATGTTGATGGTGGTGATGTTGATGGAGATGGTGGTGATGTTGATGGAGATGTTGATGGTGGTGGTGTTGATGGTGTTGATGGTGGTGGTGCCGATGCCGCCCACCTCGGCCGCTTCGTGGAAGGGAGTGATGCCGGTCTTGGTCCAGTATTGCTGAGTCTCGAACCGCACCTTGTAGGTCCCCTCCGTGAAGTCCTTGTCGCTGATGAGATGATGAGACTCGCCGGTCTTACCCGTCACCCTGACGGGGGAGCAAGACGGGGGGGGGGGGGGGGGGGGAGCGGGTGAGGCCACGCATATCACTTTTAAACCAATTATTAAAATCGTTCACACACATTCACTTACTCTTTGGTTCTTTAGGTAAAGTCACGTGGTATAAAATAAAATAAACCACGACGTTTCGGGCGCAACACAAGCGTCTGTCATCAGGTGTGTTGCGCCCGAAACGTCGTGACATTTTTTAAAATTTATACCCACGCGACTTAACCGAAAGAACCAAAGAGGATGGATTCCTGCAGTCACGAAAGCTTCAAATCGAGATTAATATTCGCTTACCCGTTCACTCTTGCCACTCGCCCACACTGCCAATGATTCACCCAATCGCTCGCTCACTCGCTCGCTCGCTCCTGCCGCTCACCCACTCCACTCATTCACCCGCCCAATCGCTCGCCGAATCGTTCATTCGTTCACTCGCTCGCTCACTCTTGCAAGTGAGACCGAGACCCGGGTCTCCGTCGAGTTCTCAAATCAAACTTTGAGTAAAAGCTACTGGGTGTGGATCGAGTTGGTGGGGGGGGGGGGGGGGGGGGGCGGGGTTGGTGGGCAGTAGTTGGGGGGGGGGGGGGGCAGCTCCACTCACCCGGTCGCCACCTCCTTCCAGGAGGCATCGTCCTGCTTCTTCATCACGCTGAGTTTGACTCCAGCCGCGGGCTTCCCTTGCACGGAGTCGATCGCCTTCACCATGAGTGGGCACGAGTCCTTGACGCCTCCCTCGTGGGATTCGTGGCTCTTGTGGTCCTGTGCGTGGGGCGCACGCGCTGGCTGTTAGCGAGCACCGATTCATCGTCGTCGTCGTCGTCAGCTGTCAACCGCTTATCCGTGCCCCTAGCTTGTTACAGACCAATCCAGGGACTTATTGGTCAACCCGTGCCCCTTGTACATCTCAACGTTCATCCTATACACGACACTATACACTACACTATACGACTATATACTCTCTACACTCCATGACACTATACACTAAACGATACACTACACGACTATACACTACACTATAAACTACACTATACGACTATATACTCCACTATACACTAAACTATACGCTACACGACTATACACTACACTATACACTACACTATACACTACACTATACACTACACTACTAAATGCATGTCAACCCCTTATCCGTGCCCTAGCTTGTTACAGACCAATTCAGAGACTTATTGGTCACCCCGTACCCCTTATAAATCTCATCCTACAAAGTCCCATCACACAAGGAGAAACACAAACAAATAGACAAAACAATGTTGTTGCCCGTATTGAAACGTCTGTACGCCGTATGGACCTGAAAACTAAATTTCCCTGTACAAGAATACGGGGTAAAACGTATGGATTGATAGGTATGCGACTATACACCACACTACTATGCACTACACTAGTATGCACTACACTAGTATGCACTACACAACACACTACACTAACTATACACCACTACTATGCACTACACTACTATGCAGTACACTATACACTCCACTACTATACACCACACGATACACTCCACCACTATACACTCCACTATACACGACACTACTATACACTACAGACGACACTATACACTCCACTACTATACACTACACTATACACTACACAACACACTACACTACTATACACGACACTACATAACGTCATGAAGCCGTCTGGAACGCTCTCTTCCTTCCGATGGTGGGAAGCCACTGGGAGCCGTGCGCTTTTAAAATCATCATCTAGAATCTAGATCGAAACACTCGTTTCTTTAGAGCTGATTCTGTTGTTGTGTCTAGTTGTTGTTGTTGTGTCTAGTTGTTGGTGTGTCTAGTTTGTTGTCCCCCGCACCTATGGCGAGCGCGGTTGGCTTACGTACGGTGCGAAAGAAGTTTAACAAACATGAACAAGCATTCATTCGTGCCCAAATGCGCGCACAACTACAACACAGACCGCCGTCCATCACTCAGTGGCGGTGACGTCACCACGACGCTTGTACCATGCTAGGTATACAGACACACACAGACAACAACAACCGCCATTCGCCACTAAGTGGCGGTGACGTCACCACGACGCTTGTGCCAGGCTATGTGCACCTTGAGGCCACGTGAAGTGTCGAACGCCCGCTGGCAGGAGGTCACGAGGCAGACCCAGGTGCCACGGGTCGACTGACTGAGATGACTGGCTGATGCACCACCTGTGCCCCCTACTGTGCCAACCTGCTGTGCTTTAGCCACCCGGCGCTCCGCTCGTTGTTGTGAGCATCGCTCCTCCGCCCTCCGTTGTTGTTGGAGGGCGACTACCTCCAACTGCCCAGTAGCGTCCTTCACGAGCCTCCTCCACAGAGGCCGATCTGGACACCGCTGGTACCAGTCATCGGCAGGTCCACTCAGCTCCACGTCCTCCTGTACCACATCACTCCATCTCTTCTCTAGCCCGTGCCGCGCCCGCTTAGCCCCCTCGATCCGGCCGAACAAAAGCTGTTTCGGCATGCGGTGGCTGGGCATGCGGGCTACATGACCCAGCCAACGCAGCCTTGCCTGCCGGAGGAGCTCACCGATGGGACCGTGCCCAGATCTTTCAAGGATTTGTGAACTCCTCACACAATCCAGCCTGGTTAAACCCAGGATGGATCGTAGGCAGGCCTGCCTAAATGTTTCTAACCGGCGAAGATGTTCCATTAGGGGGGTCCACGTTTCGCAAGCATAGAGAAGGGAGGGAATGACCGTGGCCGAGAAGACCTGAAGCTTAGTGCGGAGCGACAAACCAGGTAGCTTCCACACAGCGTTACGCAACCGATGAAAATATATTGCCGCTCGACTGATTCGGAGTGAGACCTCTGCTGTTAAACTGGAGCCGGTCATAAGCACACTGCCCAGGTATGGGAAACTCTCCACTCTCTCCACAATTGCCCCATCACCGATTGGGAGTTGTGGGGGTGGAGTGTCCGATGGTACAAAATACCCAGGCAGGTGCTTAGTTTTGGTGGGGCTGATGGTAAGGCCCCATCTCTTAGTGGCACGCTCTAGTCTCAGCAGCAGCGACTCCAACTCGTCCTCTGAATGAGCAGCTATTGCCAAATCATCGGCATACATAACGTGGTTGAGCAATAGGGAGCCATCCCTTGACCGCACCCGGGCATCGATCAGCCTCCCATTATATCTGTACCAAATGGAGATTCCCCCGGTACAGCTATTTAAGGCTTCACGAACTACGTGGTCAAAATAGATGTTAAATAATGTGGGAGCCAGAGGACATCCCTGTCGCACCCCAAGGTGTACAGGGAATGGCTCCGACTCCCGGCCACGTAGTTTTACCCGGGCCCGCTCACCATCATGAAGGTCCTTAATGATCGTGAGCAGAGGGTCAGGGACTCCAAAAGCACGAAGAACAACCCACAGCCCAGGCCTACTGATGGTATCATAGGCCTTGACCAGGTCAATAAACAGAGATGTAGGTCTTGTTGGAATTCCCTACACCTCTGCTGTAGCAGACGGACAGAAAATATGGCATCTGTGCAGGACCGCCCTTTTCTGAAACCGCATTGGGGCTCCGCAAGCTTCTCCTCAGCGTGCCTGGCAAGACGATGTTGAATAATCCTTGCCAGGACCTTTCCCGGCACACTGAGGAGTGAGATGCCCCTGTAGTTGTTACAGTCTGTGCGGTCCCCCTACTTAAAGAGGGGGACCACCAGGGCACCATTCCACCCTGCGGAACCCGTCCAGTGGTCCAGACTGTTGTTATGATGTCATATAGGGCAGTCTGTGCACAAACGCCACCCTTCCTGAGCATTTCGCTTGGGAGATCATCTCTACCCGTGCCTTTCCTGGTCTCAGACTCCGGATCGCCTCGTCCGGCAAAACAACCCCCTACCTCCTCGCGGTGCCGGACGGGCAACTCTGTCGTGGACAGTGCTGTGGGGGGAGGTCCAATTTTGATTGGCCCACAGGGGCTAAACGGGGGCTCTGGACGGGTGCGAGGGGCTGGTAACCCCTCCACCTTAAACAAATTACCACTAAACTACGACTAAAAAAGACACACGCAGACACACACACAGACACACACACAGATACACACAGATACACACACAGACACAGACACACACACACAGACACACACACAGATACACACACACAGATATACACACACAGACACACACACGGACACACACACGGACACACACACAGACACACACAGACACACACACAGACACACACACACAGACACACACACACAGACACACACACACAGACACACACACACAGACACACACAGACACACACAGATACACACACACAGATACACACACACACAGACACATACACACAGAGACAAAGATCCCCCCGTACAGCCTGCAGCAGACTTTTGGGGCAAGTGCCGTTAGCGAGCGGCACCCGTGACACGATCGGCACACACCACGCCCGGCCGCCTTTGTCTCCCCAGTGGCGATGTTTCACACACCGCACCAGGTACTTATTTAAGGCTGAGTCGACCTAGAGGGGATCGCCTGTGCCCGGTTGATAGCGCGGCGTAGCGCTGACCACCGCGCCCACCGCTCCCCACACGCACAACACACCCCGATGATGAAGTGGGGTGAGTACGCTTGGATGAGTGATGAGGTGTGAGAAGGAGGTAGCTACGGCGTGGTCACAACGAGGTTTGGGGGATTAATGAAGTGAGAGGCGAGGTGAGAGGAGGGGTGGTCGGAGCGATTGCAGAGGCGAGGAGAGGCAGGAATGAGGGTTGTGCATTGAGGAGGTGAAGACGGTGGGGATGGCGGATGAGGAGGTGAGAGGAGAGACGGTCGCGGTTGAGGAGGTGAGAGCGCGTTGAACTTCTTTCAGTTCAGCATGCACACGAAGGTGAGCACGGGTGGCGGGAGGCGATGGATGAGGAGTTGGTTTGGTGACGATGACGACGATGATGATGATGATGACGATGATGACGATGACGACGATGATGACGATGATGTGCACTTACATCGTCAGCCCTGCAGAGTAGCGAGCTGGATGCGACCAAGACCAGGAGACAGAGGAACCTCATGATGATGATGATGCGGACGACGAGGAGGACGAGGAGGAGGAGTGGTGAGCAGTGTGAGGAGGATGAGGAGGATGAGGCGGAGAGGGGAGGTGCCCTGCTTTTTATTCGCTCGACTCTCGCGGAGGCAGCGAAATCGCGGAGTCAAATTGTTGACTCGGTGGTGGGTAAACAGTGGGGGGGGGGGGGACAAACACACAGACGCACACTGACACACACACTGACACACAGACACACACACTGACACACACACTGACACACACTGACACACACTGACACACAGACACACACACTGACACAGACACACACACTGACACACACACTGATACACTGACACACACACACACTGACACACTGACACACAGACACACACACTGACACACACACTGACACACACACACTGACACACACACTGACACACTGACACACACACACTGACACACACACACTGACACACACACACTGACACACACACACTGACACACACACACTGACACACACACACTGACACAACAAAGAAAAACAAAGATCCCCCATATAGCCTTAACAGACTGTAGGGGCAAGTGCTGTTAGCGAGCACCTATGAAGGCCGGAACGGTACACGAGGGGGTGGGTGGCCAGCACCACGCCCGACCGCCTTTGTCTCCCTAGTGGCAATGTTTACACACCGCACCAGGTACTCATTTGAGGCTGAGTCGACCTAGGGGAGGCCCGGGACCGGTTCAGATAATCGTCACTGGTGTTGGCCGTGAGCGGGAATCGAACCCGGGTCGCCAGGTTCATAGCGCAGTGCGCTAACCGCTACACCACCGCTCCCCACTGACACACTGACACACACACTGACACACACACTGACACACACACTGACACACACACTGACACACACACTGACACACTGACACACACACTAACACACACACAGACAAAAACAAAGATCCCCCAATTCTAGATTTAAAGCTTTCGTGACTGCAAGGGTCCATACTCTTTGGTTCTATTCGGTAAAGTCACCTACGTGACTTTACCGAATAGAACCAAAGAGTAAAGATCCCCCATATAGCCTTAACAGATTGTAGGGGCAAGTGCTGTTAGCGAGCACCTATGAAGGCCGGTAACGGTACACGAGGGGGTGGGTGGCCAGCACCACGCCCGACCGCCTTTGTCTCCCCAGTGGCAATGTTTACACACTGCACCAGGTACTCATTTGAGGCTGAGTCGACCTAGGGGAGGCCCGGGACCGGTTCAGATAATCGTCACTGGTGTTGGCCGTGAGCGGGAATCGAACCCGGATCGCCGGGTTCATAGCGCAGCACGCTAACCGCTACACCACCACTGACACACACACTGACACACACACTGACATACAGACACACACACTGACACACACACTGACACACACACTGACACACACACACATAGAGACACACACACACTGACACACACACTGACACACACACACTGACACACACTGACACACTGACACACACACTGACACACACACAGACAACAACAACCGCCATTCGCCACTTTGTGGCGGTGACGTCACCACGACGCTTGTGCCAGGCCATGTGCACCTTGAGGCCACGTGAAGTGTCGAACGCCCGCTGGCAGGAGGTCACGGGGCAGACCCAAGTGCCACGGGTTGACTGAATAAGATGACTGAGATGATTGGCTGATGCACCACCTGTGCCCCCTACTGTGCCAACCTACTATGCTTTAGCCAGCCGGCGCTCCGCTCGTTGTTGTGAGCGTCGCTCCTCCGCCCTCCGTTGTTGTTGGAGGGCGACTGCCTCCGACTGCCCAGCAGCGTCCTTCACGAGCCTCCTCCACAGAGGCCGATCTTGACACCGCCGGTACCAGTCATCGGCAAGTCCACTCAGCTCCACGTCCTCCTGTACCACATCACTCCATCTCTTCTCTAGCCCGTGCCGCGCCCGTTTAGCTCCCTCGATCCGGCCGAACAAAAGCTGTTTCGGCATGTGGTGGCTGGGCATGCGGGCTACATGACCCAGCCAACGCAGCCTTGTCTGCCGGAGGAGCTCACCGATGGGACCTTGCCCAGATCTTTCAAGGATTTGTGAGCTCCTCACACAATCCAGCCTGGTTAAACCCAGGATAGATCGTAGGCAGGCCAGCCTAAATGTTTCTAACTGGCGAAGTTGTTCCATTCGGGGGGTCCACGTTTCGCAAGCGTAAAGAAGGGAGGGAATGACCGAAGCTCGCGGTGCCGTTTGCTACCACTCAGCTCGTTAAGATGTTTTCTTGTTAGGATGTTTTCTTGTTAAGATGTTTTCTTGTTAAGATGTTTTCTTGTTAAGATGTTTTTCTTGTTCATGTTTTTTGTTTGTTGCTGTTGCACCCGATTCAAGAGCCGAATGGCTCACAGGGCTATACCAAATAAATGAAACTGAAGCTTCGTGCGGAGCGACAGACCAGGTAGCTTCCACACAGCGTTACGCAACCGATGACTGTGTATATCTATATGGGTCTATATGTGTCTATATTAGTCTCTATGTATATCTATATGTGTATCTGTGTCTCTATGTATCTCTATGTATATCTATATGTGTCTCTATATATCTATATGGGTCTCTATGTGTCTCTAAATATCTAAATGGGTCTCTATGTATCTCTATGTGTCTATATGTATCTCTATGTGTCTCTATGTATCTCTATGTATATCTATGTGTCTCTATTTATCTATTTGTATCTATATGGGTCTATATGTGTCTCTATTAGTCTATATGTATATCTATGTCTCTATGAATATCTAGGTATCTCTATGCATATCCATATGTGTCTCTATTAGTCTCTATGTATATCTGTGTCTCTATGTGTCTCTATGTATATCTAGGTATCTCTATGTATATCTATATGTGTCTCTATGTATCTCTATGGTTCTTAACCTATCTCTATGCGTTTGCCATATACGGGTCGCATAGCCGCAAACGAGGCGACTGGGCTGTGGATGTTTTGCGTGTCCTGCATTTTTTTTTTCTCCCATTAAAACGTTTCTGCCGATGTCGCCCGTGACCGCGAGTCGAACTCGGGAGGGCGATGTCCGCGGCCCCCACGGTTCTCATGGGGCGAGCGAATCCCCTCGTCCCTTTTCGTTTTCTGTGTCAATTCTGCATCAGCACTCCGCACTTTTCGCCGACTTCGCAAAATTCTGGGCTTGGCTGGGGGAGGGGGGCGAGAGGGGCGGGGTGATGATGGGGGGGGGTCACCGCATCATCCCCCGCCCACCACCACCCACCCACACGGAGCGTTTGGCAATTGTGAAATTCGCATTGACAGATCGATGCGACGTTCATAACGGCGCCACAATTCGTCCGGACAGCTCAGACGGAAGCGCGGGTGGCTGAGACCCCAGGGCGCTTGCGACGTGGCTGGCTGATGGTCGCTGGGGGAGCGGTGGCGCAGCAGTTAGCGCAGTTGTTCTTCGTTCATTTTCACAGGCGGGGAGTTGGTGGTGTGTGTGTGGGGGGGGCACTGGTCGATAAGACATCGGTCAGTGTGTGAGGGTGCCGCCGCACATCATTTTGAAACCATTGGAACCGGTATTGGGCGCCTCCCCGAGGTCGACTAGTCTGAAATGAGTACCTGGGAAGACAAAGGCGGCCGGGCGTGGCGCTGGCCACCCCCTCCCCCCCTGCGTGTGCAGTTGCGGACCTTCATTCTGTAAGGTGGCACTCATTGCACACAAAGTGCTCACCCCAAGTGAGCCACGACACGTCGCTGATCTCGTCAAGGAATAAAAACGACACGTCACTGATCTCGTCAAGGAATAAAAACCATCAGCACGTGACCCCCGGTCCTCTTCCTCGCAGCGGCGGCGGCGGCAGCGGCAGCAGCGGCGGATTTTTAGCAAGGTCCGTCGAACAAAGACGCTGCTGCTGCTTCTGCGGCCGTCTGGAACGCTCTTCCTTCCGATTTTTTTTACGAAGCCACTGGGAGCGATGCACTTTAAAAATCAGCGTCTAGGGGTGTGGAACGTCCGGCCCGCGGGCCGTATGAGGCCCGCGAAATCATTTGGTGTGGCCCTGCCAAGGCAACCGCAGGCGGGACTCGAAATTCAATAAATCTAGGAGAGCAAACCTGGAAAAGCAGTTGCGAGTAGCAACAACATCGTCAATACCAGCTAACATCATCGCCACGCCTCGCCAAAGAGAAGCAGTTACAGCCCATCGCATTAGGGTTGCGTTAATTAAATGTTTGACCAAATATAACGGGCTAATTTTTACGTTGATAATTTTGTATGGCCCGCGAATGATGTTATATAAATATCCAAATGGCCCTTGGCAGAAAAAAAAGGTTCCTCATCTGTGCTCGAGATTGACAAACTCATTTTTTTTAATATATAGAACTGTTTTTTGTGTGTTGGTTTGTCGTCCTTCCCCCACACCTCCCTTTCGCACGGTTGGCTACGTACGGTGCGAAAGAAGTTCAACGCACAAACAACATACATCGGTGCTACTCGCTAACAGCACTTGCCACAACAGTCTGTTGAAGGCTATACGGGGAATCGTTGTCTTTGTGGAACATTGTCAGTGTGGACTTAAAAGCCCCGCCGATGGCTGTAACGCAGGCGCCACGGTGGCTATGAGATGTTAACTACCTCGCCTGGTGTACAGGACGCCGTGGGTTCGATCTCGACCCTGACGCCTGCTGCTGTATATTTGGAGTTTGCGGTGTCTCTTACGACGTTTCGATCGCAACGCAAAGCGACCGTCATCCGCCTGATGACATCACGAAAGCTTTAAGTCAACATATATGGCTCCGATAATATAATATAAGGCTTGGGCCCACGCTAAGAGAGGGCAGCCTTCTTCAGCCAGACCCTCACTGGAGTGGGATGCAGTGGGTTGAGAGGCTGACGAGAGGGCGCGCCTCGGGGGGACCAAGTTGCGCATCCCCGAAATTGTCCCGAGTTTGGGCGCCTCCGGTGAAAATGGAACCCGGTGGAGGCCGAAAGCCCCGCGCGGCGAGGATCCGTCGCTGAGAGAGCGGTGGCTCGGACGAAGATTCTCGTGGGGAGAGGCGCGGGGAACACGTGGAGAGAGCTCATTGTAGGCGTGTGTCCCACAGGAGAAGAAGAG